GGGAGATTGTTGGGCCCTGAGAATGGAGGTACTCAATGCCACGGGCTGCCCCAAGGGCGATAGCCAAACGGGTTTCCCAATTTAATGGGTTTTTTCCTGATCCTTTGTTTCCTGGCCCAGTCAAGAATATGAAAAAGAAAATGGTAAATTAATTTATTCCATCAATTTGTAGGATGATACTTCTTGGGTCGCTATGGAAACAGCCTCCTTGTATAATTACAAGGGTAAGGTCTGCTTACAACTGACCCCCTAGACCCCAACCTGTTTGGGAATATACTGGGTATGTTGATGTTGATGATGATGAATTTGTAGGATGATACTTATGAAGGGCTAAATGTGCATATTGAAAAGAACACTATATTGCAAGATAATGATCATTGTGTTTTATTAAGATCAAACAACAAAAGAGAAACAAGCTAAAAGTGAACACCTAAATGGTAAACAGATTTCACTCTCAATGCAATTCAACAAGAAGTATCAGTAGAGTTGAGTAAATAAAAATAAGACTGCAAATAGTTTGGAAAGTTTGGTAACGATGTGTAACCATATCAAGGGCTCTACCTAACCAAGTTGACATACATAATTGTGCTACTTATATCAAACAAGAGTACTGATACATTTAACAATAAATTGGATCAACAAGGAATTTTTGGCACCACTACAACTGAAATTGATCGATCAACGATGTAAAGTCACATTATACTCTTCTCATGACAAATATTCTAGCAAATGAACTAACCATCCAAAATCAAGCAGAAACCTCAATCCTACAAATGGAACACATAGAAAATGACAGGCAACTCAATTTAAACTTAAATCCAAAACCAGAAAATTGCAAATTTAAAGAAAAACAGAATAGCCATATCCAAACGTCTAAAAGAACCCCACTCACCATGTAAAACTGCAGAAAGGCTCCCCATTGGCATATAATCGAAAACCAGAAGTTTCTCCTCCCTACTGTAGTAATAAGCCCTGAGCGGCACCAAATTCTCATGATCCATAGCCCCAACAGCTTCAATTTTCTCCCTAAACTCCCTCTCGCCAATGGTCACATCCTTCAATCTTTTCACGGCCACCACTGTGCCAACCTCTAAGACCGCCTTGTACGACGTCCCAAACGTGCCCTTACCTAAAACCTCAGCTGATGCTCTTAATAACTCCTCCAGATCAAATATCCTAGATGCATTCCCGAAAAACACCAGCTTCTTGACACTGGCCGCTGAATTTGTTCCCATTTCAACCCTGGTGTTACCATTCGCCCCCATTGCGTTCACAGCAGAAGCACTCACAGAAAACCCATTACTAACCCCACTATTTGTTTCCTCAACCGGCTTCTCATGAGGCTCCTCAGCATGATTCTTGATTGCGGTCACATCGACGGACCTCACATTGTTTCCATTCCTTTTTCTGCACAAGATAAACAAAGCCAAGACCAGTAGAATCAACCCCACAAAAGATCCCACTACAATTCCAGCAATTGCGCCGCCGGACAATTTCTTCTTCTTCTTCCCGGTTTCGCCCCCAAAATCTACGTTGCCATTTGGAGCCTCGGCTGGAGACTCTGTCGGGCCCGCATTGCCAGCACAGACTGTATCGAGAGGCTGGCCGCAAAG